AAAATAAAAATAAAACATAAAACTTAAAAAGCTGGGACGCGAAGTGAATCACGGCCGTGACTGAGAATCACGACCGTGATCTTCTCTGGAGCACATCTATGAAGGGTCAGTGGCGTTCACGGGTGTGATTGGGAGTCACGGCCGTGATTTTCTCTGGTGAATCACGGGCGTGATTTAGAATCACGGCCGTGATTTTCCCTGTAGCTCAGCATTTCCTCTTTAATTCTTAAATCTTGATCCTGCTCAGAGAAAACACAACACATACCAAGAAAAGCATAAAATAGGAAAATGATATAAAAATTTATTAAAAACATGAAAGATATGCATGATTATGCTATGAATTCTTGTGAATTAAAGTGCTAAAATACGAGTAAAATACACAACATCAAACAGCTCCTATCAGCACGAAGCACATCACTGCATAGCAACAATAACAGCACTGCATAGCGACAATAACAGCATCGCATAGCGGCAATAACAGCATCGCATAGCGGCAATAACAACATCATCCAACAATTCACAGTCCAACTAACACAATTGACAGCACAACACAACACAACACAATATAGACATCAATAACAGCCCAGCTCAGCCTAAACCAACATCTATCAGCAAATTTCAGCAAATAATCAACACACCTCAACATAAGACAACATATAAGGCAACATCATATACGCGCCCGGCGCACTCATAGTCGCGCCCGGCGGGGCACAACCAGAGAGCACCAGGGAACTAGCGCGCCCAGCGTAATTCTTATTGCACCTGGCGTGATGGGAGGCAGAGACCTCAAAAGGTCTCATAAGCCTAGCGTGCTCATCCCGCGCTCGGCACAAAAAAGCAGAGACCTCCCCAGGGTCTCACGCCCGGCGCAATATAAATTGCGCCCGCGCCACAAGGAGTCTCTACGCCTGGTGAGACAAAGTCACGTTGAATGAAAGTGTTAGGGGCATTGGGGAAGCCAAAAGGTATCACCAACCATGCACATAAGCAATTTTTTGAAAAATTTAATGGCCCCATGCAATTCATCCATCAAATAATCTAACTTAGGGATTGGGTGCCTATGCTTTATTTAATGATGGCTTTTTATAAACGGTGCTCATCCTCCATTTCCATCTTTCTTTGGCAGCAAAAGAATGAGGATGGCACAAGGGTTAATGTTCTCTTGAACCTAGCCCTTCCTTCTCTCCAAAAAAAGGGAAATCTCTTTTCTTTTCTTTTCTTTTCTTTTTGTTTTTGCTTTTTATTTTCTCCTTTTCATCTTTTTTGGCTTTTAATTTGAGTTGGTCCTTATTCACTTAAGAGGGCGATAGAGGATAGCACACAAACTTCTTACCTAAGTGTTGGAAACTTTTTTTATTTGTGAGGCCATCATGGATTGTTTTCTTGTCAAATTCCCATGGCCTCCTAAGCAATACATGACTAGCCTTCAATGGAACTATGTCACACAAAACTTCCTCTTTATATTTGCCAATGGAGATTGGTATGCTTGGTTGTTGCTTTACTACAATACCTTTTTCTCTATTGATCCATTGCATTTTGTAAGGTTTAAGATGAGGTTTTGTAGTTAAGGCTAACTTATCAACCAATCTAGTACTACAACAATTTGAACTAGACCCACTATCTATAATGAGAGAACAAATGTTTTCTAAAACTTTGCATCTTGTGTGAAACAAGTTTTCTCTTTGAGATTGGTCAATTTCACTAGATTGATTGCTAAGGATCCTTCTAATCAATAATAATTCTCCTTCACAAGGTAAGATTTCTTCCTCAAAATCTATGGCTTCATCTTCACTACTAGAGGAAGATGAAGTAGCTTCATCAAGGCTACTATAGTGATCTTGGGCTTTTAAAATCATAGTTTTCTTTGTAGGAAATTGAGAAGCAATATGTCATCTTCCAAGACACTTGAAGCACTTTATTTCACTTGACTTAGATTCTTTAGAAGGTGCTTCAGAGACGATTTTTCTTTTTCTTTTTCTTTTTCTTCTTTGGAATAAGGTTGGGAAGAGTGGCCCTCTTTCTTAAAACTCTTGGAATAAGAGGGAGTGGAGTCTTTTCGAAAAGATTTTCTCTCAAGTTGATGCTCCACTCTTAAACAAATCCCTATCAGGCAAAAGTTCAACTTTGTCTCTTATCTCAAGGTTAAGACCACTTTGAAATCTAGAGATTGTGGTCCTCTCTTCCTCCCTAATCCCAGCCCTCATCATTAGCAACTCCATTATTTGCCTATATTCTTCCACACCAGATGACCCTTGATTCAATCTTTGTAGCTTGTCCATAAGCTCACGATCATAGTATGGAGGAATATGCCTATTTCTCAAGGCATTACGGAGTTCATTCCAATATTTGATTGGGGGCTCATGATTTATTCTCTTTCCTTTTTCTAAGGAGGTCCACCAATACATGGCATGCCCTTTGAAGCTAAGGGTTGCCAAGGAAACCTTCCTCTCTTCACTTACTCCATGGCAAGAAAAAAGTTGTTCAACTTTCATTTCCCAATCTAAATAGGTTCCAACATTTTCTTTGCCATGAAATAGGGGAAGAGTGATGTTGGGTTCCTTATTGGAAGACTCCCTATATCTTGGTTGCCTTGGGGGTCTTTGATAGTAGTCATCAATTTGATGACTACTATAAAGGCTATCACTTGGAGGTTGGGTATGATGCCCTTCCTCCTCATGTATGCTTGTAGGTATTCAAACCCTTGCCCTTTGAGGACTTAGGTAAGAGGACTCTAGGTTTTGATCCACAACCCTCCCCTCCCACAACCAACCTTGCAAGATGGAGATAGGTAGGGTTCTTGGCCGAATTTAGACCAGGAGAGACTAAGGAAAATATTAAGGAACAAAAGGCTCACTCAATATTATAATTTCCAAAGTATTTACAAGGATGCTAGCTTAGGGTATTTATAGAAGAGAGGTTGAATTTAGGGTTGCATTTGAGAGTGCATGACTGAAAAATGTTAGCCAAATGCACTTCAAATGAAACCTAAATTAACCCTTGATGCTACTTGGTGGCCAATGATGGAATCTTTGGGTTTAGTTAAGCTACATCTAGGTGCATGATAAGACCATGCAACCTAGGTTCCCTCCACTTGGACCTAAACCTTACCGAGTCCAAAAATAATTCCAAGACTACCAAAAAACACATCTAGGCCTATTTTCTCACCTTAATAAAATACCCTAGTCCAAAACTAAAATCCTATAATCTAATGCACCCCATAATACAAGGGTAAAATGGGAAATACAAGTGAAAATAAATCCTATGACTAAGATACCCCAAAATACAAGGGTAAAAATGGGAAATACAAGTAAAATAAATCTTATGTCTAAGATACCCAAAATAAAATGGTAAAAATGGGAAAATTAAAGGCAAGGGAAAAATAGGAATAAAAATAAATTCTATGCTAACAAGGCTTAGGAGAATGATCAATATTCTTTAGCTGTGAGCAGCATGTCTCTAAGGGTGTT